TGTATAATATCAAATTAAGAATATGTATGTGGAGAATATATATATTCTAATTCATATACATTCTAATTTATAACCCTTTCTATCTCCCAGAATATATTTAAGTGCTTTAAAAACCATTAGAGAGGCCCGGTGTGGTGGCTCAAGCCAGTAATCTCAGCGCTTTGGAAGGCCGAAGAGGGGGGATTGCTTGAGCCCTAGAGTTCTAGACCAGCCTGGGAAACATAGTGAGACCTCGTCTCTACAAAAAGTAAAAAAATTAGCCAGCCATGGTCATGTGCACCTGTAGTCCTAGCTACTCTGGGGGCTGAGGTGAGAAGATTGTCTGAGCCTAGGAGTTCAAGGCTGCAGTGAGCTATGATTGCACCACTGCACTCCAGCCTAGGCAGCACAGTGAAACCTTGTCTGAAAACAAAAACAAAACGAAACACCACATTACAATTATCTCTGGATTAAGATAAACGGGAGCCAATGCACCAATTGTTGTACTCTTTCAATCTCTTTAAGGCCAAATCATTAGAGACTGTGTGTCTCTCGGTTATCCTCTAATGGAGTGTATTGTTTTATTTCTATTAGTCAATACCAGTGCAGGTGATTTTGTCTTTGTATTCCTAACAGTTATCTTAAAAAAAATTGTGTTGGCATTTCAGTTTCTTGAATGACCCTAAAGACTTTTCAGTTGTGGAGCAAAATGATCACATCCTTATAAAAGGATACTAGTTCACTGGGCTCTTTGGTATGAACATTGTTTTTCACCAAACATGCCTGTGTATACATCCTCTGCACATTACAAACACTTTTATGACATGTTAAGTTCCTAATTACCTAAAAAATAATATTTCCATGTACAAATTAAGAAAGAGTCACAATTTGCTAATGAGCTATTTTTTAGTAGCTTAACAGCACATCATAAACAATAAAACTATAATAAAAGCCACAAGTATTTCTGTATAGAACACTATTTTTCTATTGTTTTTCTTTCTTTCCTCTTTTTCAACTTTTCTTAATGACCAATTATAGATGAAATACTATGTTGCAAATAAACAAAAATAATCCAGTGTTTCTTAACCTTATACAGAAGAGAAGAAAACTAAGTCTGAAGAAAAGACTAAAAAGGAAGTAAAAGGTGGGAAACAGGAGAAAGTGAAGCCAACAGCTGCAAAAGTGAAAGAAGTACAGAAACCACCGTCTAAACCCAAGGAGAAGGAGGACAGAGAGACAGCAGCTGTGTCAAAGCATGAACAGAAAGGTAAACATTCAGAGCAGGAGGCTGCCAGAGGTTCTAAGAGAATGTTGGGCAAGAAGCAGATGTAACGAAATTAAAAGTGGAAAAAGACTGAAATCAGACTGCAAAGTGG